TTTTTTTTAATTTTTGATTTTGATTTTGTTATCATAGACCATAATGCTTGATGCATAATTGTTGTATGTGGTTGAAATTGTTTAATAAAGTGGAGCCTTATTTTGATGCTTAGAATATTCTGCAACACAAATTAGGAAAGAAAACAATAAAGGAGACTTAGATTTTGGCCACTACCTGCAAAGAAGTATTGGGCATTTCTCTTTCAAAGGTATGTTTATGTAATACCCAATGTTATGCATTTCATGAAACTTACAATGGCTAATGATTCCAACTTATGAATTTATTAAATTTAGTTAAGTGGAAAACTATCCTTGCTTTCTAATTTGGCTTGGAGAGTATTAATTTAGCAAACTTCATAAGTTATCATTGATATGGTTGAGTCTAAAGACATGATTGAACAAAAAAAGAATGAAGAAAAAAAAGGAATTCAAAAATGAAAAAAAAATGATTTTCAGAATGAAAGAATAATCTGTATTGGATTTTATTTTTTCATTTAAAATAAGAAGTTAATATCTTGATGAGTTAAAACTATATAATTATATTTTTTTCTTCAAATTATTTAATTTGCTTATATGCCAGATGGATATAAAGATTAGATTAATTTGAAACCTATTAGAGTTCAACTTAATTTACAATTCATAACTCTAAAATTTATAACATACTAACATAACTCCATCTTTGTTGGTTTTGAGTTTTTTTTTTTCCTGGGACAAAGAATATTCAAACTCATGTTTTTATTTTATTATTTAATCTAGCTTCAAAATCAAAATCCATTATAGAGGTTTTGCATTAATTTTTTTTTTTTTTATGTTAATGAAATAAGGAATGAGAGATTAATAAAATTGAATTTGGTGTAGGCAAAACATCTGGAGCTGTTTTGCTTTAAGATTATGAGCTTAATTTGTTAGATATTAAGCTTTAAATGATGAATAATGGAACTTATTTATGTTAACAAGATGAACTTGGAACCATGCACGATGTTTTGCTTTCATAGTTAAGAACAACTCTTTTTAATTGGAAGATAGGGACAACCAAATGCAATAAAACTTTGAGATGAGAAGTTGATATGATATAATGGATTGACATGAGTATTTTTCTACATCTTATATCAAATTTTCTCATTCTTAGCTATTCATGGTTATTAGAGTTTTAAGAAGAGAAGATTGTAAATTCATATTTGCAAGGAATCAATATGTACTAGCATTTTTTTTTTTAATGAGAATATATACCAATTTTAAGTAGGCTTAATTCAGCAATCTTGCCTTTGAAGTCAAATATCAAATGCTTGAACATTACTACAAACATATATAGTATCTCAAAGGGGGAGAGCATAGATTGACTTTTGGATGGTTTGCAATTGATGACTAGAAAGATGGTGTTTGGAAAAGAGCTTTTAAGCTATGCAAATTTTCATTTTGTGATTCTACAATTTTTCACATTTTAGTTTAGGGTATGAGTCTTCTTCTTCCTCTTCACTAACTTTGCCTTAACTAATTGGCTGGATATTGTGAGTTCATTTTATTTTCTTTAAATTTCTTCAATGAATTGTATTTATCATTTTGGCCCCTTCAATATTCTTCTTCTTCTTCTTCATCTTCCCCTTTAATAAAAAAAGGTGATAATTATTTCTTATTTTCTAAATCTCTTCTCACCCTCTTGGTCTGTTACAAAAATTTGAATTTAAGACTTTTGAACTTAAAATCTAAACTCTTCTATAAGTAGTATAGATGGAAATAGAAATGAAAATATGAAGCGAGAGTTGTTTACTTTGGGAATATTGTCTAAGTAGTAGGATTTGCTATACAATTTGGCTATACAGGTATAATGTTATCATGTACATGATGAAGACCTACAATCTTATCCCACAGGTTTCTTATAGGTTTAGTTGCATAATTTTCTTAATATAACTCCTTTTGCAGGTTGAAAACATTTTAGTCATTTCATAGTTGCTATGGTGGCATCTGCATCGTCATGAGTGTGCTGGATGAAGAAGACTCAAGGTTTGGCCACAAAAGCATCACTCGTATATTTTATTTTTCTATCAAAAAATTATACCAACATTATCTTCCAAATGAAAAACACCAGAATTATCAGTATATTTTTCTCACTTAGATATACTCTTCTTTAGTGCCTTTATTCGAAGATGGTTTGTTAAGAGAAGGCAACTCAAGGTTTTAATCTTTATTCTTTTGTGGATATTCAATTTATTCTTGAAGTTTATCAAGGTTCTTATGCATTGTGTGCTTCAGCTTTTAAGCCTCTTATATACTGAGAACTTTTAGGCCTCTTTATGTATTGAGAGTGCTAACATAAGATTAAAAACAACAAATGATCAATTGTGTTTCATTTTTTGTTGCAAGAATCAATTAGCTATTCAAGGTTAAAGTAACATAACGAACTTCACTATTTAGCCTTGACAGTGTTTTATGAGTCTATAGTTGATATACCTTATGTTATGTGAAAATGTGTTTTAGGAAATATTGAAGACATGGAAATTTTACAATAGAGGAGCATTATATTGGATACTCAATTGAGCGATTTGGTTGTGTGTGATTGAAAATTCCAAACTTTGATCATGAATGTGTAAGGACTTTACTTTGGCTATTATTGTATACTTAGTTGAGCCATTCTTCCTATCTCATTCTTTCATTCTTTCATCTTTTGCTTTATTTTTTTTACTTTCTTTTTTTAACAAAACTAGAAAGATAAAAATCCATGCAATCTGAAAGCCTTGCATGGAATTCTCTATTTTCGGTTAGAATCTATGCATTTTTATTTTTGTGAAACCTATAGAACTATAGTCTATGTTATATTATTAAAAACTTTACAAACTCTAATACTCATGTTGCCACGCCCCATAACTCAAATCCGAGGCGCGACAGACATCGTGCACTTGTGAGACGGGTCCCACAAATGCACAAGGCTCGGAACTTACTGAACAAAATCAGTTTTGATACCATAAAATTTCCAATTAAAATCTAACTTACAAGAGCGTGGCGTACATGTATCTAAAATCTATGTCAAATCTCAAGTGGCTAGCCTTTTAACTTGTCACTTCCCGTGGTTTCCTCGTCCTCGGTTTCACTTCCTGAAATGGTGGACAAGGAAAAACTATGAGATAAACTCAGTAAGTAAAATATGGAGTGCCCTTATTAAACTTATAGCATGCCAACAAGTGCAATCACGAAAAACGGATACAATACGGGAACAAAATAGACGTCTCCTCTATAGGTCATGGCCACTGTATTAAACTTCCCATTGGCAGGCTACACTTGAACGAACCGGTTCTATCAATAACATGTCGACATGTGCTAGCGTTTAACCCCCACTAGCAGGATTACAATCAATAACATAACCATATCGGAGACAAAACAGGTAGAAGTTCACAGAAAATCATTCTTTACCAATCACTTTCAAATCATCAGGACAATCAATCAAATTTCAAGTAGGCATGCTCAATTTAATGAAAAGCATAAAAATTTCATTTCAAATCAATCATACTTACTTTTGTATAAAACGGGTTTAATCCTGCCACCACTTCAAAAACAAGTCAAAACATGCTTTTAAAAAGCTTTACCTTAAATCCAGGGCATTACCATAAGTTACTTACCTCACTCCGCAAAACCGAGCACTCAATTCACGTACTAAATTGACAAAACGATCGAGAACCTAATCAAAATACCTCAGAATTAATACCGGACTATCACAAATTCAAGGTAAACTCATCATTAGGATCATTCCTAATCACAATGCTATTTCCATAAATCTCCACATGGTCACATATCTCCAAAATCGTTCTCATATCACAAACTAATCATTTAAATCCCCGTTAATCGTTGACTCTCGGGGTGTGAACAGTGTTCTGTGAACAGTACACGTGAACAGTGCATGACGTGAACAGTAACTCTAACTTCCAAAAATGGGCCAAAACACTAACTAATTCACGGGATTTTCTCCAAAAATCACACAGCAAACAATTAACACTCAATCACATAAATCCCACTTAAATTAATCTAATCATGGTCTAATTACTATCAAATTTATCCCCATTTCTCACGGCAGCACATGGAGAGCATAACTTTGGCAAATCACAATTCACACACATGAGATTTTCACACAAAACATCACAGCAGGTAATTCAAGCTAATTTCTACTTAATCAAGCTTAAAACACATTTAAAATACTACTAAATGCTACCGGAATTCCTCCCCATTTCTGGCACAATTCGGACACACACAAGGCAGCAATTAAATGGCTAATTTAGGGCTTAAAGAAGTGGCCATCATACCAGAATTTTCCAGCAAGAACCGGACTTGGCAAGGAGAAGAAGCCGGCGGCATCTGCAGGGGAAACTCACGGAAACTACCCAAAATCGAAGGAACCAAGAGCAATTAACATAAACCCAAGGCAATCAAAGCTGGAGAAGGGAGATTCATGGCTGTGGCTTACCCGAAAATGCCCAGAAAATCGCACCCCCAACCAGCAGAAACTCACGGACCGAAGGGAAGAGGAAGGGAGAGCAGATCTGGAAATTTCTACTTCAAAGGGAGGGTTCTAGGTCCCAAAATCAGTTCTTTAACAAGAAAAGAAGAGAAAAATAGCAAGCTTTTGCCGATTCCTCAAGAGAGGACTGTCGGCAGCTTGGGGGCTTGTTGGGAGGAAGAATCGGGAAGAAGGAGAAGATAAGGAAGAGCAAAACACGTGGCTGAGGAGAGAAATATCAGCCTTGATCCTTATCCTAATTTTCTTTCTTTTTAGTCCCTGAACTTTGAAAACTTTTGTTATTACATTCATTAATGATATTTCTTCACAATTAGGTCCCCAATTTACTTTAATGCTCTAGAAATTTTGGGGTATTACACATGTGTTCATTTAAAATTGGCCTATTCAATGTTGAGCCATTCAAAGTTAGACATGACATCATATCCTACAACACGAGGTTGTCTAACCAACTTAATAATAAATGTAGCAATAACAACATACTGTATATATAACTCACTGATCATCTTGGGTTGCGATCGAATATCTTTTTGAATTTTGCCACCTTCGATGTTATAACCACAAGTATCCAATGTTGGACATCATCCACCCTTTGAAAATAAGCATATCTTCAACTTTTCACAAAAATCAAAGTTCCCATGACT